TCGGTGGCTGTAGGAACCTTCTGCTGGGTTGAAGGAGGGAGGAGGGAAGCACACAGTTCAGCAGTCTTTAGAGCTGACCAAGCCACAGCCGAATGAGGAATGATAAACATCATGGCAAATGACAGCAGGAATGAGAAGCTGGTTCCCTTCCTACCCTTTCATCATGGAGCCACAAGATGCAAGTAGTGATTAGGCTTTTAAAAACTTTTGGCGTGGCACAAATAGGATTTTTCTTTATTGGAAAAAGAATGCCTTGGAGGGCTGGAATAGTGCATTCTGTGCTGTAACCTCAGAGGGAGATGTATCGCAAAAATGTCCTGGCATGAAAACACTGTGCAGAAGAGAGTGTTTTGAATTGAATTAATTTATATGTAATGGGCAGTCACTTACTTCATCCAACAAAAGCAAACAAGTCTCCCTCCCTAGGGGCTGAATCTCCTTTTGCTTATCCAGTATTAAGCTGAGTATTATGCCTCAGTTTGTAGAGTCACACTTATGTCAGGCAGTGCTGGTAAGAAGTTGTTTGGTTCCATGACTCCTTTCGTATGAATTCAGACTATAATAAATGTCAGTGAAATGATATCCAGAAGAGAATGGTCTGGAAAGCCCATGAGTTGCCTTACCCTGCTCTTCTTGATGGAGTTCTCCTGATACTTTTGCCTATGTTCTGCAGAGATGATCTGTGCAATAAACAGAAGAGAATGGTCTGGAAAGCCCATGAGTTGCCTTACCCTGCTCTTCTTGATGGAGTTCTCCTGATACTTTTGCCTATGTTCTGCAGAGATGATCTGTGCAATAATTTATACACAGTACATCCCACTGTGGGTTTTACGAAGAGGATACTGGGGACATGGTTGACTGCAGATGGTCACTTGTCACTGTGTAGCTAAGTCCATATTAGAGTGTGCTTCTTTGGGTGGTTTGAAATCTCTCTTCAGGTACTGACCTGCATTTCCATTTGTTTTCAGATTTCAGGAAGGAATATTGTAAATGAAGACATTCCCAGGCTGCTGGCTGGACCAGAAGCTTCAATCAAAGATAGATAAATGGAAGAGAGATGCCTTTTCTTAATACCCTGTCCCTCCAGTTACCATAGATTTTTTTTTTTCATGTAGACTTTCTTCCCACTAAGCACAAGGGTATTTGCAAATGCTTCTTGAAAGAGTTAGACCATCTGTCGTGTGTTCACTTACGGTGGGTTTGGGGTTGCCTTTTCTTCTTCTGTCCTCCCAGTCCTCCATTCCCCCTTTTCTTTCTTGATATTATTGTTGGTTTTATGCATCAATGATTTTTATGAGCTGAATCAGCAGACCTTTTGCTTTGATGTTACTGCTTTAAATAAACCAACCTGCATCACTAATCTTGAGCCATCATTACACCAGGCATTTTTCCATGTAGTGTATTCATCAGAAAAAATAATAGCAAAGCCTGATTGTGATCTCTCATAGGCTGGCATAAATCAGGAGGAGCAGTACTGTCACGTAGCACTTTGCATTTTCTGGGGGAAGTCCAAAGAGTACACCCCTTCACAAATGACCATGTAAATACCTCATTTTATGAATGGGGAAATGACAATATCCTCATTTTACAGGGGAAAAGGAAGGAACGCAGGTGACCAAGGGTAGGGTTGGGATCAGCTTCAAAGAGCTCTGGAAACCTAACTCTATTTCCCACTCTAAGCTTGTTTGTTGATTTGTTTTTGTTTCAGCACAGACCAAATCAAATTTGGCAAAGCGAGCAGACCCTTTCAGCTGAAGCTGATGGAGTTACAGTGCTGTAATAATACCAGTCTCAGTTAGATCAGAACCAGGAATATTATGGAGAGGGCTAACTCCTGTGTGGAATCTGGAATATGATTTTTCCTGCAGTCCTTAAGTGGATCCAGGCCACAGGGAGCTTGTGTGCACGTCAGAACACAGGTATGATCACAGCCAGGCAGAGAGACTGGGAAAAGCAATACCTTCTCATGAGCAGAGTGTGAGGAACAAGAGTAACAGCACACTCCACTGAACAGCCTGTCAGGAATTTTATTGGTCCAGGGTCTTGGAAGGGGAGTTGAGGAAGGAGATGAGTGCATTCTTGTGGATTTTGGGGTAGTTTTGGGGAGGGGATAGCTGAGATAGTGGGGCTGTAGCTGAAGGGGAGTTCTACCTATCAACAGTATGTCAGGTGGAATGTCCAAACATTGAAGTCTAATAATTCAGTGTTATAATCCAAGCAAGTTAAAGCATCAGGAAAAATGGAGACTATTAACACTTCTACCCAGCTCCTCTGACTACTTGGGATATTCTGTGACACCATTCCCAAACCAGGCACACCTGTGGTCCTTGGAGCACAGAAGAAAAGGTATTTCCTACAGTTGTGAGCGTGGTGACAGTGGCTTGTGTTCTTGTTGTGCAAGGGTGAAGGTGGGCAAGGGTTGCCAACCTGCTCTGGTGGTCTGAAGAGGACGGCAGAGGGAGGGATTGCGGATGGTTTTGGTGACTGCATGGAACTGGGGTAGGGGCTGCAGGATGTTGTGGGTGGTGAAAGTGTGAAGAGGAGCTTGTGTGAGAGGATGTGATGGGGTGGTTTCTGCCTTGAAGTAGCGCTCTGCTTGCAACTGGTGTCTCAGCCTGGGTTTCTTCCTGGGGATGGAGAATTCTGAGGTCTTTGCAAGTGATGAAGTAGCTGTGGTCCAAGGAAAGCATCTCAATCTGCCAGCTAAACAACTGGGAATGTGACCCGCTGCCTAGTACGATGTGTGTCTTGGCTGTTGTTTTATCCACCCTTGCCACTTATCCAGGAACGTGTCAGAGCCATCTAACAGGGCCACAAGTTGGGTCAAACCAGAGAGTTGTTGTCATGGCTGGATGAAGCTGCTCACTGGAGGAGCACGTGTACTGTAAGGGTCCAGTGCTGTTTGGAGAGCTTCCCTAGTGTAGGAATCAATGTCAAACCCCATACCTGCCCCTTCCTTTCCATCCCAACCACCTTCCAGCAGTGTTGGTGGGTGAGGTTCCTACATACCAGAAGGAACTGTGTTGTCTACTCAGAAGCTGGGACGTCAGTACTTTGATGCACACTTCTCATAGGAGTGGCAAATGGACCATGTCAATTTTTATAGCTATTGATAGTTCTGTTAGCGAGGACTATGTTAAAGAATGAATATATCAGGCACCCTAATTTTTAATGCCTTCAAATATGAAAAATATTAATAATAGAATATGAGACGAGCCTTCCTAAGCTATGGCTGGGCAGATCCTTATCTTTTAGTTTGCTCAGCCCTTCCACTGCTCTCTGGATGGTTTTTATGATTTACGATTAACTGCCTTTATCTTCAGTTAAGATTCTTTCTCTACACAAGTGCATGGCCTGGGCAGACCCATGACTGGTGGAGAGTCTGGGGTCGGGCCCAGGTCCCCATTTGCCTGCCCTTCCCCCAGAGCAGACGGACATTCTTGGGCTGCCTTTGGCTGGACCTGATTGAAACCCAAGGCACATTCCTGCAGGTGCATAAACGCCGCTCTGGTTATTCCATCAGGGTGGCACAGTCTCAAGTAATTGTCATTAATGTCTTTCTCCCTCCCTTTCATGTCTGTGAGTCAAAGGTTGGAGATCTTTACTTGCCAGTTCAAATTGCTTAGCGCAGCTCATACAGACACCAGCTCAAAGTGGGGTTACTCATAAACTCCAGAGGCATTTAAATATTTTATTGGACTTCTAGGCTGCAAAATAGCTTAAGGGGAAAAAAATTTAATATGTTCTCTGAAACAAGCGCTTAGGAAGAGCTTTATGAGTTCCTCATCCTTGCTTTGATCAGCAGTTTGAATTTGGTAGTGGTCAGACACGCCAGTATAACCCTACAGTGATCAAGATGGGAGCCCAAGTTGAGATTATGGCCCTTTTTTTTAATTCAGGAGAGACATGTGTGGTGTGATTGGACTGATGATCAGAACAGTGGTTTTCAAAAGCAGCATGCCACATCCAGTGTGTAATTTAGTTTGTTAAAATCCTGGCTGGAAGAGATCCAGGTATGGCTGTGGGATAACCAGTTGTGTTTTCAAACTCTTGAAAAAAGAGAGAAAGAAAACCAAACGTTAAACTGAAGAGGTTTGTTTGTTTATTTCTTAATACAGAGGAATTATCAAAGGCTCTTCGCCCTTAAATACTGGTGAGAAGCCATTTAGGTCCTTTACCTATGGATTGTGTATTCTGTCAGTCTTTGGCAGTGGCATGAAGTCAATGTAGCTGGTCTTGCATGTGAAAATTAGAAGGCTTGACTTAGAATTAACCACTAAGTTGGGGGCAGGACCTGTCTGTCCCTGCTCTGCCATCGACTCAGTGCAACTCTAGACAGGTTGGTTTTCTCTCTCTGTCTCTCATCTCAGCCTTTCTCTCCCTAAGATGGGACAGAAACTTGCCTGTTGTGGAGAAACAATTCTTTAATGTGTGTAGCACGTTGGTAAACGCGCTTTGCCTGAGTTATTCAAAGTCCTGTTCTCACTGTACTAATGGAACACTGCACCTTGATGGACTTCTTCACCTATCACTTTGCAGCTCTTGGCAGGCTTTGCCTCCTAGTCTCCTTGGTTTCCTGAGATATGCATTTTATGTTCAGTTAGTTAAAATAATAATAACCCCTAATATTTTTATACCGATTTTTATACTGATTATTTCTCAGTGAGTACTCTGGCTCAATGAGGGCAGAGAAATTAAAAGTCTCTTTTAGGGTAACATGTAGAATGCGAGCCCTTGTTGTGGAACAAGGAAAGGGTGGATGGCAGTGACCTTAAAAGGGGTTAAAGCTGAGACTAGAACTAGAGCCCCCTCTTTTCAGCTCTGTGCCCACTCTGCTTCCTCTCAAGCCTGAGAGGAGGACTTTCTCCACAAAGCTTGGATTTTTTTTCTCTTTGTTGTAACAGATTTAATTTCCATTATTGTTGTTACTTAACTTTAACCATTTATCATTGTTGTGTAACTCTCCTAGCATTTAAGAAATAAAGGAGAATATAATGGAGTTTCAAGTTAAGGTTGATTTTATTTCTTGCTCTTTGGAGATGCTATCTAAGCTATTAGCCAGCATTAGCTAATTCTTCCCGATGGCTGGGCAGTGTGTTTCATCTCGGAGCATCCTAAAGTGCCTGACAAAGTGCAGATTGGAGGCAATAAGTTATTCCAGTGATTTCAATATGGTTTCCACATGGGACATCATCACTTGACTTGGTCATGGGGCCCACAGAGAAATTTTAGCTCTCCAGAAGCATGTATAATGAACAGATCTGGGGCTGTAGAGGGAGTTCAAACCATCTATCAGAGGTGAGGGCTGGCAGCTCCTTCATAGTTCATAATTCTGCAGGTCCAGAAGGGAAGATAACACATCCTGCTGGAATAGTTAACTGCAGGATTTTAGACTTTGCTCCCAGCCCAAATTCCTCTCTTCCTTGCAGAACTAACACCTTGCAAAGTGCCTGCTGCACATTCTGCTCTTGGAGGGCTTCCACTCACTGAGTAGTATCCCAGCTGGCGTGGCAGAGTTCTTCCAGGGACACTGATGGAAACAGCTTGTATTGCTGCTTGGATGGGCAGTGCAGGGTGCAGGTGCAACAGTTTGAAGGATCAAAGCAGGATATGAAACTAAAAAGTGGCAAAGAAGTATAATTTAGCAAACTAAGATTATTGACCAGCTTGTCTGGCTCTGCTGAAAGTATTATCTTCTCTCTTACCTGCTTGGAAATGCTACTACAGCCAGGCTTTTGCCATTTCATACCTCCTTTTCACTGGGGTGAATCGTCCTGTGATGGCTGCTTGTGCCTCCTCAGATAACCAGAGGGGGAAAAGCCAAACCCAAAGCAGTTAAAAGGGTTAGGAGATGAAGATGGTGAGAACTGGATGGGGAATGGTTCCTTCTCATTGGGCTCTGCTGTTGCTGAGAAGGAATGATGAGTTCTGGAGCAGGTGAAGCCAGGGGCCATGTACAGTAAAGATCTCACCCAAAGTACCTTTCTGGTACAGTTGTGGGACTTTACTGGTCTGTCACTGGTGTGACCTGTAAGTGAGATTCTTCACGGTGAGGAGAAGCCAAATGAGAACTACTGAAAAAGAGATAGTTTGGACAAAGTGAGATCATCCTGGAGCTGGTGCCAGTCCCACTGGGAACATCTGACTCTACAGCATTTTTCTAAGAGTTAAACGTAATCTCCCCCCCCTTAAATGTCACAGGCAAACTAGAACATTGTACTATTAAAAAAAAAAAATATATCTTCAAATTATACTCTTGATGCTGGGAGCCAGAGATGCCACCATTTTGCTGAATTGAGGTGACACATGTTGGATTCGATTTCTATATTTGTTCATTTGTTCTTTGTCGGGGGAACATAGAGCTCGAGTGGAGTTTTTTTGAGGGCTTCAACCATGGGGGAACCTGCAAAAAAGGCAGCTGCAATCATGCAATTATCTTGAAGAGTGAGGTCTTGCTGCACAGCCTTAGCTAGTGCTGGGTGTCATTAATGCTTGAAGCCTGGTCCTTTCTGCTGGTGCCCCGGGTCCCTGCAGGCAGCCTCCAGCCCAGGCACTGTTGGTTATTTGTATTTGTATTTTGTATTTGCTGGGGCATCTTGTTACTTTTCTCTGTCTCTATAGGCAATGGGTCTGATTTTTCCAGGAAAGCAGCTGGATACAAGGAAAAGCTAATTTCACAACCACAGAGCCTGCTTTGCAGACCACCGAAATGAAATATTTTCATTGTCTTCAACTTGTCTGAAATGAAGTCCAGATTTGTCCCCGTTTCCTTTCTGCCTCCCAGTGTGGGGAGTCTTCCCAGTGCAGAGGGAGTTGCTAGTCATCAACAAAACAAATTTCTGAGGGGAAGAAGAAACTGGGGACCTGAGAGAAGTAGGATAAAGATCCGAATAGACATTCCAAAGCAAAAAAACCTCACTGTTTCCTAGAGGTCAAGTTTTTAACTGTATGTGACCCTCTGCAGATCAGCTGCTCTGAAGACAGTTGCTGCAGGGAAATTTTTCAGTTGTGGCTCTCCCCTCCTTTAAAAAGTGCTGCAGATGCCAGGAAGAGGTAGGAGAATCAGAAAATGGCTAAGGAAAGAAAAGAGATTGAGTCATGATGAGTAGGAGCTGGGATCAACCCATTAAACTCATTGATGAGATGTGCATCACGTGGAAGTGTTTGAAAATGCTTGAGGCTGCCAAAAGTGTGTGTGTGTGTGTGTGTGTGCACTCGTGACTGGCACCAAGATGATTCCAGAGAAAGTGTAGGAGTGCTGAGTTTTCATGGCTGGGGTACTGATGTTCTAACCCACAGTGTTTTGTGTGTGTGTGATTCAGCAACAAGGGAGGTCTTGCCTGGAAAGCATCACTTCTTCCCTCCACAGCCAGAGCTTTTTGCCCAAACGCAAGTGTTTCATGAAAATTTCCCCCTGAAGACCCATCTACAGCAAACACACGATGGAGGAAAAGGTACTTCCACCAAAAACCAGCTTGATGTCATCCACTAATTTGAAGTGCTCGACCTGTTGCCTTTTGCCATAACATTTCACGTTTTTTCAGAGTCATCTCCACTGTTTTAATTGTTGCTTTAAAGTACAGTTGAGTTCCAGGACAGCAGGCAGCAGCAGTTCTGCAGCAGGGTAGGGAGGTTGATGCCATTCTGTAGGAGTATCTGATTTGCACTTGAGGTTTGCTGGGAGACCTTGAAAGGGCAGGAAGGTTGTTTATTCCGTGTGATAGTTCTTCGAGCACTACACACACTGTAACAGAACTGGGGTGCATCAGACTTTGGGTAGCAAAAGCTGAACAGTCATCAGTAGACTCAAGTCAGCTGGAAAAGAGACTGAAATTGGAGAAGACACTCTTAATTCCGATGAATCCCATAATTTGAGTGCATCTGCTAACAGCGTTGGTTAATGGTTTCTGTTACATTTTTGTAATTTCTTTTCAGCAGTCCCTGTGGAGCACTGAGATGAACACTGTCCTCTAGTCTTCTCTTTCCCTCTCCCAAAGGAGGTACACGGTGCCTCCTTCCTACAGACCTGTAGGGCAATATCCCTCCATAACACACATTCTTCAATTTAAGACGGCTTTTTTGGAAATGTCACTGAAAATACCCTCTGTCATTTCACCCCTGGTTTATTTGTGTTTGAGCCCAGTGGAGATGGAAGCCCTGGGGAGCAGATGGCTGGTCTGCAGGTCTTTTGCCTCCCTCTAGTGTTTGATGTCTTTATTTTCTTATAAACTACCAGAACTGAGTTCTGCCTTGACCTGACTGTGCCCGAGGTCTGCTGCACAGAGAGGAAGAATAAAAGGAAAAACAGCTTGGAGATCTTTTAGCCCAGATCCACGAGCAGTGTAAAACGACTTGGGTTGCATCCTGCTGACATCTACCAGCTTGGGAGCCAGCCTAGAGCGTCGTAATTTGAAGTACATCCAAACTGTGTGGTTGCAGCTGTATCTTTCTGCTTCTCTTTCTTTTCTGGGATCATTTCCATGCTTAGCTCTTATTCTGCATTGATGCTAGTGTTGCCTGTGTGAATTTAGAGTGAGATGGGATCTTTGCCCCAGAGATGGAGAGTAGCTGCATAACTTGCCTTTTGGAATGTGCTGAAAGTCTGTGCATAGAGCTCAGAAACGGGTTCTCTGAAGAGGAGGAACTGGTTGGCTGATGGTTTTGGTGTGGTTCATTCAGACACTGGCTTCTGATACATCCTTTCAATGATAAAAGTCCACACCCCATTTCTCCTTTTATTTTTAAGCAATGATGGTGATTTTGGAGAAAATACTTAAGCAAAGGAATATAAGGATTAGTCCTACTGGTGGGACTCCATACTTTGGCAACATAGATTTTGTGGCTCTAGGTCACTACTGTGATTCCAATCCGGAAGGAATCTTCCCTGGCTAATAAGTGTTAATCAGTTTAGTTTCTAATACACCCGTGCTACTGGCCTCCGTGTAGGTACCATCAGTCCTACAGGAGACAGGGACAGCTGGCAGGAGATGGGGGGAAGTTTGCAGTGATGGGAACCCCATTGATACGTGAAAACCCAAGTCTTCATTTCCCAGACCTGTCTATCCAGGTGAAAATACTCGTAGTCACACCTCGTTTCATTGACATGAACGGCAAAACTGCCAGGGACCAACTCCTGAATAGAAATAATCCTCCGAGTGAAAGCTGGTTTTGTTCTTTTACAAATAAATTCGTGCAGGTGGATAAAAAACACCCCTGGAATCTCAGAGCAGGTCCCGAGTCACAGTTTGGGTGTGTGTCGGAGGGCTCAGAGCTTTGGTTTTCTTTTTGTCGTATCTCTTTAAACAAACACTTATTTGCTGAGCACCCAGAGTGTGATGAGCTTTTCAAATTCACAGAGACAAGCAACAACCATCACTATAATTCAAAGGATGGCTTTTTAAAAGGGCTCGCTTATTCTCTGTGTGGTAACGAAGTGCACCGCTATATAAATGAAGAAAAGGGTGAGCAGCTTTTATGCCTCAGGACACTCTCTGCTCCCTGCAGGGGACAGCAAGGCTATTTGCTCTATCACGGAGAGCACAGCACTAATAGCAAGAGATTTTTATGCCTTGTATTTATTTTCCACTGAAGTGTTAAGGCCTGAACTCCGCGAGAAGCAAGATATTAGCTCTGATGGAGCAGTGGTTTGCTAAGGTGGTGTGTTCTGCATTCCTACGTACGCTCTTTAATTGGATTAGCTTGTGGTTTGACTGTGACATGAAAGTGGGTTATCTCCTCTCTTCGGCGCTTTATGGGGACACAGAAAGCTTTTTGTGAGTCATAGATCCAGCCTTATCATGGCTGTTCCAAGGTAGTCGTCTGACAATTACACAACTCATTATATTTTTCAGTTGTCAAAAGTGAAAGCAAAGCTAATAGAGCAAAAACCAGAGCTCTGCAGATTTGGTCTTTGTGTGGGTACCTCCTGGGTCTCTGAGGAATTCAGGAGGTCATTAAGTACCAACTGAAGAGACCAAAGGGTTGGATGTTAATATTTTGCCTGAGTTTCATGCTGCAAAAACTACATAAAGCTCAGTATCTCAGAAAATACCACTTCTACTAGAGTTATCTGCTAGTCCTGCCCAAGGAAGCCTTCCCCATTGTTGCCCAGAGATTCTCATGGGTGGTGAATTGATGGATTCATGGCATGCTTTCTATACCAAGAGTACTCTCAGGTGCTTCCTGCTTGTGCACACAGGCAGGACAGAAAGTTGAATGCATGGTTTTACAAAAATCTTCAGTGCTTTTGGCTTTACTCTGTCAGAATTCCAAAAACTTTCTACACCAAGAGTACTCTCAGGTGCTTCCAGAACCAGAGCATGTGCTTGTGCACACAGGCAGGACAGAAATTTGGTTTTACAGAAATCTTCAGTACTTTTGGCTTTACTCTGTCAGAATTCCAAAATTGAAAGTGTGAGAAATGACTGGCCATCAGTGGCTACCACTCTTGGAAACTCCTCTTCAAAGTGTACCAGGTTGGTCATTCCTGACTTAAAACAGTACCAAATGGCTAGTTACATGGTGAAGACTAAGACCGTACTTTTATTTTGCTGTTTGTCTTGCCTGGTTTGATGATCATACAAGGTTTCAAGTTTAGCAGTGATGGGTGGAATGAATGTCAGCAGATGAGTGAATCACTGGAGTTAAGAGAACCCCCGTGAATGTGATTTTTGCAATTGCTTCACTGTACCAGAAATGGCAGCAGAGAAATGATGATATTTTGGTTTCTCAATATTGTTAAATCTTGTTGAGTTGTGCCATTGCTGGAGAAGTACCCAAGTCTGGCTCTGCGTAGGAGGATTTCGCTCTGGAAGCGGTGTGTGACTGTGCTGCTGGGATCTGGCAATGATTAAACTTTCAGAAAATAGAAAATAATAAATAGCAATAATTTTAACAGACCTTTTGGCAGCCTCTAATGCACTTGGCTTCTCTTGTTTCATCCCGGTAGAAAAATCATTCCGGTGTCACAGGTAATTCAGTCACTGAGCTGTGATTTATCCCTTCACAGAAAGCAGCTGAATGTTCTGAGAAGTCAATGTCCTCTTTCATGGAAAGGGGAAAAAAGGGAGAATGTCATTAGCTTGGGACTTCCCCAAAGAAGTATTTTTTAACGAACAAAAGATTCCTTGAGACCCAAGCACAGAGTTCTGAAATCTTCATTTTCTGGCTGTCATTTTTGGGGGATTTCTAGGAAGAAAGGTGAACTTTTCCCAAATAACATGGCCCTCCAAAGGTTTTTCTCTGGACTCTGTGCTCCAAACTGTAACCCCTCTCTCCTGGCAGCACCGATCAGTGACTTGCTGTTCTGTGAAATCCAAGAGATGATGGGTCTAAAGCTTAGCCTGTGCCAGGCACCTCAATGGGCTCTGTGCCCAACGGGCTTCCATTGAAGCAGCTTATTAAAAGCAATTTCTTCTGAGCCACGGATGTGTCTCTGCTCTCTTATTAGCATAAGCTGCGGAGAAGCCACCTGCACTGTGGAAAATGTCAGGATTGGCAGAGAATCCATGAGCTCATTGCTTCAACAGAGCCCATCTCAGTTCTCATGAAGCACAAAGGGTCCTCTGCAGGGGTGGGGGGAGCCTGAATTCTTGAGATACCTGAAATAAAGTAGTCTGTCGGCCATTACAATGCTGCCTGACTCTCATATAAGGCTAGATAATTAACATTAATAACACTAAATAACCAGTATTGATCCCGATACCTGAGGGCTAAAATAAAAACATAAAGACAGTTGTCCTGGGGGTTAATTTCTCTTTCAGTAATTTTACTTTTCAGTAAGGTCTGTCTTCTGAGAACTCCTTGTCGTCAGGAGCCTTGAGCCCTTCCCTTCCTCCTGAAGCCACAGCACCCACAGGGTCCCACATGGGCTGTCCCTGAGGGGAGTGCACGGTTGCCTGGGATGGGGTGGGTATGATCCTGGTGGATTTTATACTGCCTGGGGTGGGATGGGATGGGTGTCATCCTGGTGGATTTTATATTGGCACTGGGATGAATATTCATTCTTTAGTGTTACTAATGTAAATTATCTAGTCTTATTCTATGAAATCTGGTTATATTTCAACCCTTGGGTTTCCTTGTTTTGGTGTTACTAACGTAAATTATCTAGTCTTATTCTATTAAATCTGGTTATATTTCAACCCTGGGGTTTCCTTGTTTTTTCCCCAATATCCTTTCCTGAGGTGGGCTGATAGAATAATTGTCTAAATGACAAAAAATTGTTGCGGGTTCCTCAAACCCTAACAATGAGAGAGGTGAGTTTTATGGCAAGGGGCGGGTGCTCAGCCCCTTCGATGGCCCTAGTCCTTCCCTGGGGATGGCAGGATGGTCCCTGGGGAAGGAAGGATGTTCCCCGGGGAAGGCGGGATGGTCTCTGGGTCAGGATGCTCCCTGGGGAAGAGGGATGATCCCTCAGAGAGGCAGGATGGTCTCTGGGGAAGAGGGATGTTCCCTGGGAAAGACGGGTGGGCTGATAGAATAATCGTCTTAAATGACAATAAATTGTTGCGGGTTCCTCAAACCCTAACAATGAGAGAGGTGAGTTTTATGGCAAGGGGCGGGTGCTCAGCCCCTTCGATGGCCCTAGTCCTTCCCTGGGGATGGCAGGATGGTCCCTGGGGAAGGAAGGATGTTCCCCGGGGAAGGCGGGATGGTCTCTGGGTCAGGATGCTCCCTGGGGAAGAGGGATGATCCCTCAGAGAGGCAGGATGGTCTCTGGGGAAGAGGGATGTTCCCTGGGAAAGACAGGACAGTCCCTGGATTGGGATGGTCTCTGGGGAAGAGGGATGATTCCTGGGGAAGGCGGGATGGTCCCTGGGTCAGGATGCTTCCTGGGGAAGAGGGATGATCCCTCAGGAAGACAGGATGGTCCCTGGGGAAGGAAGGATGGTCCCTGGGCCAGGATACTCCCTGGGGAAGAGGGATGGTCCCTGGGGAAGGCAGGACGGTCCCTGGGGAAGAGGGATGTTCCCTGGGAAAGACAGGACAGTCCCTGGGTCGGGATGGTCTCTGGGGAAGAGGGATGATCCCTCAGGAAGACAGGATGGTCCCTGGGTCAGGAGGGTCCCTGGGGAAGGCGGGATGGTCCCTGGGGAAGACAGGACGGTCCCCGGGGAAGGAAGGATGATCCCTGGGGAAGACAGGACGGTCCCTGGGGAAGAGGGATGATCCCTGGGGACGGCAGGACGGTCCCTGGGGAAGGAAGGACTGTCCCTGTGGAAGAGGGACGGGACCCGCACCAGGAGGTTGCCGCAACCAGCCCCGCTCCCCGCCGGCGGTGGTGCCGCCGCACCGCCAGGGGGCGCCCCGCGGGATGGCGGCGGCTCGAGCGGCGCTGCCGGGAAGCGGGGG